CACCTTCGTGCCTTCTGAAAATTTGATGTGCTTCACGATGTGGTGCTTGCCAGAGTCTGCGGGCAAAATGAAAAGCTGCATGTTGTAAGGCGTCTCAACACGACTGTTGACTCGGATGGGACTTGGTAGATCGGCATAGCGTTGCTGCAAGAAGAGTGTTTCGATATGTTTGAAGTCGATCTCTCCCTCATAGTCCAACATGATATCAAGGAACTGAACCTTCTTTTTGATCGAGTCTGCGGTGATCTCATCTTGGGCGGGCAAGTCGCCGACCTTTACACAACCAACATCTTTATGAACGATCATAGGCCTGTCGAGCTGCAACACCTTTAAGCCGTCCGTGTTAGATATGGCTTCTTCCCAAGTGATCGCACCGTCCAAGTGCCCTTCGTTCATAGACTGCGCCAACGACACGGGACGTCGAGGGGTTTCGCTGGCCATGCTGTGTGAGATCGCTGTACGAAAAGTCGAGACTTTATGCTATATTGAGCAACTAAGGCTTCGTGTTGCAGATTTCAGCTTCCTATGCAAGAATGTAGAGCACACAGCGAACGCCAAACAGAGCTTCAATGCAAAGATCTTTGTTTTCCTGACTCGCATCGTGGACAGCAGTAGCCATTCGAATTTAATTCGAAAGCATCTGTAACAGCATGGCATACTCTAACTCAGCTAGCTGCCTTTCATTGTCCTCAATGTCATATGCCCAACATCTTGCCTTGCAGCGCCAAACCACCGTGCCTTGGATGAGAGTTGCAGATATAAACTTCCTGTTGCTTGAAACTTGAACACGAAGAAAGCTTAACATAATCAGTCTAGGTACCGTTCGGAAGTGCTCGAAACTTACGCGGATGCTCAGTTGGAGCAGAAGGCACACAGCGTGGATCTGGATCTGTTGGAACATGGCCCAATACCATTTTGAGGATGTCGTCTGACAGCTGAAGAGGTAGCTTTTTCCATACGGAAACGTCGAATACCCACTCAACCATCGTGTTGCGAAGGAGCTGAAGCGTCGGAAAGGGATAAGGGTCCCTGCTAGCAAAAAGATGCTATTTTCGGATCACAAGACAGATTTCCATACCTTTCATCGAGAACAAAACCAATGATATGTATGGTACTGCATAAACTACACATCATCTGTATCATCAGATCACACGTTCTAAGCAGCAAGGCATGATGAAGTCCTATATGTGCATCTGCATATGTACTGAGATGTATGTTTGTGATTATGTATGTGCTCTACAGTATCATGCGAAATCTCCAGTCATCAGACATTCGACCAGGTTACATGCTTGTTTTGAGGATGATGGTCACAAACCGAAAGTATCGAAAGGTCCCTAAAAACCAACGGGCGGAAGCCGAATCCATCGAGAGGTCCCTAAAAAACCTAAAAAACCTATTCTCCAGGTCTACTCGGAGAGAAGCTATGAAAAGATTGGTTTTTTAGGGACCTCTCCGTACTTTGTGATGGTTGCAAGCCGAAAACATCGAGAGGTCCCTAAAAAACCAATGGGCGGAAGCCGAATCCATCGAAAGGTCCCTAAAAAACCTAAAAAAAAACCTAATCTCCAGGTCCTTTCGGAGAGAAGCTATGAAAAGATTGGTTTTTTAGGGACCTTTCAACACTTATCATGGTTGCAAGCCGAAAACATCGAGAGGTCCCTAAAAAACCAATCGTTTCAAAGCCTCCCTGGGAACATAGCCTTGGAATAGGTTTTTTAAGTTTTTTAGGACCTCTCGATGGGTTCGGCTTCCGCCCATTGGTTTTTTAGAGACCTTTCAATACTTTGTGATGGTTGCAAGCCGAAAACATCGAGAGGTCCCTAAAAAACCAATCTTTTCAGAGCCTCCCTGGGAACATAGCCTTGGAAAAAGTTTTTTAAGTTTTTTAGGGACCTCTCGATGGGTTCGGCTTCCGCCCATTGGTTTTTTAGGGACCTTTCAATACTTTGTGCTGGTTGCAAGCCGAAAACATCGAGAGGTCCCTAAAAAACCAATCTTTTCAGAGCCTCCCTGGGCACATAGCCTTGGAATAGGTTTTTTAGGTTTTTTAGGACCTCTCGATGGGTTCGGCTTCCGCCCATTGGTTTTTTTAGAGACCTTTCAATACTTTGTGATGGTTG